TTCATCTGAATATAATATAAATCACAATTTTTTAAGGAATTTTGATATGTAATATATCTTTAAAGAATTTGTTGGTTGATTTAAAAGAATTACACGGAATTTCTTATATTTTAACCCGAAAAGTGAATAGTGATACAGTGGAAAATTTATATAGCTTTTTAAAAGGTATGGCAGGAAGTGCAAGTTCAAATATAACTGCCCTAGACTTTAAACATTGGTATGTTGTATTTATATAATTTTATATTATTGAAAATGTATAGAGTTAACATTAATTATTTAATTTTTAATTGCTTCAGCTTAAGATGGTTTATTCTGGGAAAGCATTCGAATGTTGTGTTCACAAACAATACAAACACTGAACAGAGCATTGAAACAAACTTGTTAGAAGAAAACGACTGCTTAACACGAACAATCATAACCGATTCTAATCTTGATGAAAATGACCAAACAGTTGTCATTGATGATGTAGCCAATCTGGAATCTGCTGTTGGAGTTCGACAAATAGTAGTTCCAGAAACATATTTGGATATTTTAGAACAGTTTGAAGTACCTAATTATACATATATTAATATAAATAATAATGGAACAAAGAAGGTTTTAATAATTACCACTTATCTATGTATTTTAGCTAGCCATTGAAGAACCATTTGACAGCATTGAGGAGAATTGTGCACAATATGTAACTGGTTATATAGCAAATAGGTATTCTGAAAAGTTTCCACAGTAAATAGGCACACATGATGGCAATTTAAACAATTGGACCAAATATATGTCTAAAGGCAGCTTGAAGATTCCGTCGGACGATTTATTTAAAGCTGTAAAAATATTTGAAAAATATTTTAAACAAATTCACCAGAATAATTTATCCAATGAGCCAAACATTTTTAAAAAATTAATGAACACTGTAAAACCACATATTGAACATTTAGGAATACCAGAAGAGGTTATTCAATGTTTAATTCGAACTCGAACTTATATAAGATTAAATAATCTGAACAAGAAAATTATGGACCAACAGTTTAAAAAAAAAGATAAACGAAAAATACAAAAATTTACCAACTAAAAATTGAATTAAGTATATTTTATGTGTTCACACCCATGTTATAAAATGTTTTTACATGTTTATTTTGTCATGGTTTTTTATTGTTTAATGAAATAATATACTTATTAGTTATTTTTTGTCAATAATTTAAATTAAATTAAATTTGAGTTTAAATTGTGAATGATAACAAACGTACTGATAAGGAGCAAAGTGGCAGCCATTTTATGCGTATCACAAAGTTGCTGTCATACCTGTTTATTTTGTCATGCGTATCAATACACTTTGAAGTTTGAATACACTATAGTAGTAAAGTACGGCCAGCGAAAAGTGAGCCGCGATACCAGTGCTCCTGGTGGCGGAATTTCATCAGGGCATCCAAAATTATTTGCGATCATTCTTAAATGCACCACTTACTGTCACGGCTCACTTTTCGCTGGCCGTGCTATAACACATATTATATAAGTTATACATAATATAATATATTACAAGACTATAAAAGATTTAATGAATCAAATTAAAGATTTTTTTTTTTTTATCTTAACTATTTAAATAATAGTTAAATACTGAACCAATTATTTACAGAAGCATTGTCATTTAACATAAAAGCACTTATACGTGCTGAGCACAAATATTTTCCTTACCGTAAAATTGAATATACAATTTTATATTAATTTTTAGTTGGCAAAATTATATGCCATTTACCAGGGTAAATCGTTAAAATCATCAATATATTGTTTAATAAATACTTATTAGTAGAAAATTATTTACATAATATGTTTACAGTTTTATACATGTCACAGGTGGACATGGTACCGGAGAAACCACAATTCGAAGAGTAACAGTTTCACTAAATGCTGATATTTTAATAAATTTAGTTCCCACCCGATTTTTTCGATTTTTTCCCCAACAATATATGTGTTTTTAAGCACTAAACACAAAAGTCTGATTCGAAAATTCTCGCTAATCATTATTTTGGAAATTATATCTAAAAAACTATAAAACAGTCAATTTTTTTTTAAACTCTTAAGCTTAAACAGCCTAATCTAAACATAGTATACCTAATAATAATAATAAAGACAATTTGCAACAAACATTGTCGTCATCGGTAAAATATAATAAAATAAAATAAAATATAAAATATCTAATGTATTGCATTAACTGAATTCAAACTCTTTACAAAATTATATCTATCAATTTGGTTGTCGTTATATAATTGTATTTTTTTATTTATAAATTGTAAATTATTTTTTTGTTGTATTCTAATTATCCTACTTTCATTATTATTGGCAAAATTTATTCGTATAATATAAGAGTCTGTCTGCAAAGCTAATAAATTTGTAATGAAAACTACAATAGGTATTTAGATTTGCGGAAGTAAAATAAATAAATTACTTTATTACTTTACTATTATATCAGTTTTATGACATGTGGACTTTAGGTGTTTAAGATATTTTTAGAATGCGGAGTAACGGTGCGTTCGTGTTTTCGACCGTGCGGAGATACGGTGCAAGCGTAGTTACGGATTCACAAAATATTTGTATTCATGCGGAACTACGGTGCGTCCGAATTTTTTTTAGGTGGCTGGATCTATCTATGATGCAACAAAAGTTGATCATCCTGAGATGGAGGAATTTGAGGAGTTATAAAGTGAAAATGAGTCATTCAGTGATGATGATAATCAAGAGATATAAATTTGTACTAGTAATAAATATTGTATAACCTTATAGTATTATTGAATTTATTTCATAGTATTCATAATGAAGTGATTGATAAAACTATTATTACGCACGTTGGTGACTGTTGTGGTATGTGATGAGCGGCACTCGACTATTTGCCATATAACCATACAATTGAAAGGGCTATAACTTCTAAGATAAAAGTTTCCGGTAAAAAATGTTAACACCACGTCATGTAATTTATTACATACAAATTTTAAAATGAGTGATTTAATTTTAAACTATTATTTTGAAACTATTTACTCAAGTATTAAATTTAACAATAATAAAGCTTTGAACTTGTTAGAAGCAACCATGTCATAAATGTTTAGGAAATTAAATTCGCCGATACTTAAATTTTATTTCTGGATATGTTATTTGACTAACATCTGTTACGTCAATGGCTTACAAAAATAAAACAATTGATATACCTATATCATCACTTATTTAGCCTATATAAAAATTGGGAAATGTCAACACATAATTATCCTGTTTAAATGTATTTCCTGTTTTGTTACTAGCTTGATGAAATTAAAGCAATTAAGAAAGCATTGTGCTATTGTGCTGTAGGTTCAAGTAAAAGGTGCAAACATATTGGTGTCCTTTTTTATTTTATAAAAAATGTTGGAAGTTACTTATAGACTGATTTTTCTTAAACATTGGGAAACCTGGGAAAGTCTTCAAAATCAGGGGAAGAGAAGAATAAAAAGAATATCAGAACTATTTCCTGTAAAGAAATAAAAACTTCTATTGTGGTAGTTGATGATAAAATTTGTTTGAAAATTGTAAATTTTTGGATTTATATTGTCCACTAAATTTAAATGAACATAGAAGTAGAAGTTATTTGTGGAAAAACGTTTGAGTACATTATAGGTGAAGTATAAAAATTAATAATTTTTTAATCAAATAACCCATAATTAAATACCATAATTTTGATGCAAAACTGTATTTCCAAAATCTAGATCGACCCATGCCATATTCCTCTTAATTTTGAGCTATCTGAATTTTACTTTAACTTCATTTCGGTGACGGAAGAAAGAATGATAAATAATTTTAGTTTCACAATTGACCAACCAGATGAATGCTGGTTGAATAAGTATCATATCTCAGCTAGTTCTTAAGTACATATAATTAAAACTTTAAGAAATTTAACACATAAAAAACCGCTTTCGTTTGAAGAATAGTAAATCTTTAAATAGAAAGTCTGCCAAGAATGTAAAATATCCCCAACAAACCGTAAAATAAGCTTTTAAGGCCTATTCAAGTAAGTTAGTTGGGTTTAATGTTATTAAATGCAGACTCTTCACCAAAACTGGCGTCTAGCCTTCGTCACCTTCGAACCTCACTTATCGAGTAGATATATACTAACGGGTATTTCAATAAGAAAGCTCGATTTTTCAATGTAAAAAAAACTAGTTTTGTGTGAGATATCCACGCAATTTTTTTTTTATTTCAAAGAGCGTTATATGGCAATTATGTATGGTATATAACATTGTTTAAATGTCCACCACCGCTTTGCTTGGTGGCACGTATTTGGGAGGTCCAATTTTCTTCTACTTTGTTGCATAAATCTGGTTGAATTTGCTGGATGGCGTTGGTTATGTTGACTTTGAAGGCATCAATTGTTTGCGGTTAATTTGCATAGACCTGTGATTTAAGATAGCCCCAAAGAAAAAAGTCTAAGGGTGTTAAATCGCACGATCTTGGAGGCCAGTTTATGTCGCCGTTGCGCGATATCACCATGCCCTCAAATCGTTCACGCAGAATGTCCATTGTTGCACGCGCTGTGTGACACGTAGCACCGTCCTGTTGGAACCACATGTCCTCAGTATCCATATCATCCAGCTTAGGCCACAAGAAGTTGCTGATCATTGATCTGTAGCGCTCGCCGTTGACAGTTATGGCACCGCCTGATTCGTTTTGAAAGAAGTAATAACCAATTATTCCGCCAGACCAAAATCCGCACCAAACAGTGGCTTCCTTGGGATGCATTTTGTTCTGGTGTATCTCGTGAGGATTGGTATCGTCCCAAATCCGACAATTTTGTTTGTTGACGTATCCATTCATCCAAAAAGGGCCTCGTCGCTAAAGATGATTTTTTTAGCGAAATTTGGGTCAACTTCCAACTGCCCCTGAGCCCAATAAGCGAATACACGGTGTTGTGTATGGTCGGTCACTTTAAGTTCCTGTGTTAGTTGGATTTTATACAGGTGCAGACCCAAATTTCGACGCAAAATTCGCCAAGTTGAAGTCGCAGAAAGGCCAAGGTCTTGTGAACGACGAGAAATTGACTGCCTTGGATTTCCCCGTACACTATCACACACAGCAGCGATGTTCTCAGTGGACCTTGCATTTCGTCGACGTATGGGTGTTGGCTGATGATTTATTGAACCGGTTGATTCGAATTTGGCTACCAAACGTCGAATGGTCGACTCAGCAGAACGGTTGTGTCGAGGATAAAAATCACGTAATGCGCGGAAAGTTACTCTAACAAAGCACTGATTTTGATAGTAAAATTTAACTATACGCACACGTTGTTCAACACTATAACCATTCATGGTGATTTGCCACACAGTACTGAAGAATTCACAACATTTATGCAGATAAGGCTTTAATGACATTCCCGATATATCCGTTCAAAGTTCGAGCTTATAATTAGAAATACCAAATACTACCAATTGCGAGCATGGTCGGTCGGACGTAACTATTGATTAGACGCTATTGTTCAATTTCTAATGTTTGTCTCTTCTGCGAACTACATTTCACGTTTATAAGTATAAAAAGGAGTATACTGTATAATATAGAGAATTGTTGTGTGTATAGTTGTTGTACTTGCTTGTGGCATCAAGTTTTGTTGCGCCAACGGGCCTTACCTAGGGCGTACGCTGGACGCTGAGTTCTCAGGACTTATGGGAGGGGACACAATACTATTACAATGTTGAGCAATAAAAAACATACATATATTATTATGATTAACAATAGAAATATACATATATTGGTTTGATACAATGGGGGACAGTAAGGGGCGGGGATCAACGCTCTGGTGAGGAAGTCTTGCGCGGAGCAGCTGATGACGACGACGTTGGATTTTGTATTCTGCGGGCTGCGCCGTCTATGATGAAAATCACAATTCACAACTAAAATCACCTTTGTCCCAAAATGTGTTTAAAAACACGTGTGTGTGAGGTGGCGGAGCTGCTGTGCGGATATGCGGTGTGGAGCAACGGACGTTGAGAGCGAACAACACATTCAAAACGGCATATATGCTATGACGGACCGAAACACGTGGAGCAACGGGCAGTTGCGAGCGAACAGCCAGTCAAAACGGCATAAATGCTATGACGGATCGAAACACGTGGAGCAACGGACAGTTGCGAGCGAACGACACAGTCAAAACGGCATTTATGCTATGACGGATCGAAAACACGTGGAGCAACGGGCAGTTGCGAGCGAACAACACAGGTACCAAAACGAGCCGGTACGCGCAAGCACCGGGGCGCGAAGCAACGCCGACGGCGGCATCTCCCGCATCATTACCCAGACCGGGGTAACAGTTACGACGGCAGGGTCACCAACATTAGGGAATGACCGGTTGCGATCATCACTGCCAGATGAACTCGTAACGCGGCATATATTGTTATCAACAGAAAGGTCGAACAAGTTTTTTACTGTTCTGTGTAATAGAGTGTGTTCAGTGTTACTGTGTACACATCGGCTGTCCTTTGTAATACGTTACAAATACTCGTTTCAAAACTTATATATATATATAAATATAAATGTTGTTTAAAGATCATGATCTCTAAATTTAACAAATTTATCTCCATAGCCGAAGTAAGAAAATAGTTGGTAATGTTTTTTTTTTTTTAACTATCCGAATCAAATGAATTTGAGTCGATGAAATACCTGAGGCAGGCACTTTTTTTTTCATCTCTACGGCAGTTATGCAAGATCTCAAACCTTATATCGGAGTTTTATGATTTTGCTAGTGATGTAGTTAGGAAAGTACATGAATTTTATGACACTATCATACATCACAATTAATACTTATTTTGTCGAGAGCAAAATAAATTACTCTTGAAAAATAATATCAATTCAAACACTATAAGAAATTTTAAATTTTCATATAAAAAGTCTAGAGACGATCGTACTTTTTAATGGGGGGTAATGACATAGTGTCGCTTAAATGTACATTTTTACAAAAATAAAGATCATAAGCCGATAGTATATCCTGACGAAACATTGGTCAATCAAAATCATTCGCGGAGTGTCACAATGGCAACATGACACAAATATGGTGAGTCCAAAAATCCCTACTGGAAAAGGTGGGTTTCTTATTGTTGAGAACGCAGGATTTGCCTAATACGGGTTCTTTCCGAATTAAAAATTGTTTAGTATATATGTTACGGGAAAAGTGGAAAATTTGGACAATGTATACAATGCCCGGGCATTGTATACAGTGACCGGGCATTTTATACAATGTCCGAGGTATATTGGGCAATGTAAATTGTGAAGTATTTATACAAATAATCTGCATAATATATTTTGTTAGATGATCCTGATAAAATAATATGAACTTATAATCGCCATCTGATTGTGCTTGCATGTCGATCAAGTCAATTTTATAGCGAGAATTCATTTCAGAAGATATGATTGGTTTTACAACCAACCCTTTTTTAGCTGTACTTCCCTTCTTTTTACACAATTCGCAATTATTTAAGTATAACATTATTACATCTCTTGTTATATTTTTGTACTTTTTATGAATTTCGTGTTCCATTCTATTTCTACTTTCATGTCCAATTGACAAATTAACTTCATATATAATATCATATAACTGAACATTATGCACATAATATTTTATTTCATTACCTTTAAATACATTTAAAATTTAATGAATTAAAAAAAAATTGTAATACTCTTATATACCATATAATCGAGTATAATTAAATTAGTATATAATATCATTGATTAGGTATAATAATATTATGCAGATTATTTGTATAAATACTTCACAATTTACATTGTCCGAATTTTCCACTTTGCCCGTAACATATATATTTGGTATATATGTATCATAGAGTAAGATAGAGGTGGCGTTCCCTATCACAGCCGTGTAACAAAATTGAAGCCAAACCATCGGTCATTGCCCCTGAAAAGGAGTCTATTAAAAAAACTTTGTTCCGCTAGATCGCGTTGTACTACAACAAACATTGATAGCTATTCGATACTAAGTGATAACCATTCGGCATCGGGCATATTTGATATTTTCTGTACAATATTGCTTAATCATAAATCACAATTTTTATAATGTTGTTTTTTGAAATTTTGTGAATTGTAAGTTGTGTCTCCTTTGCTTATTTTGCCCTTTGAATTTATTTTATCTCATACAAAATGCCGAGTTGTTGAGTATGCAATCGAGCTAGAACTCCGTCTACAAAGTTCCTGGATATTACTTTCCATAAGTGAGTGTAGTGTTATTATATTTTATTTTAGTAGATAATAAAAAATAAAAATGTGAAATGTTTAGGTTCCCTACTGATCAGAAAGTCAGGGAAAAATGGTTAAATTTTGTCATTCAAAATGGTTTAACCGTGGATAACATTAATAAGCATAGTCTATTATGTTCAAATCATTTTGATGCATCTCTGATTATTGTTCATAAAAACACTAGAAGATTATCAAAAAACGCTGTTCCTCATATCAAGATATCAAGAGTGAAACATGTGAGTGTTTAACAGTGTTAAATAAATTACTTATGTACAAGTATCTATACAAATTATGCTACAATTACATACCTACCCAGTTTATACAGTTAGTACCTAATCTTGTTTTTAAAATTTCAGTCAAAAAATGTATATCCTGAAATTATTGAAGTTGGCCAGAGCTCTTCTGCTCCATTTAATTTGGATGTTGAAAGAAATTTAGT